GCCGATGAAGAAGACGTCATATTGCAGACTTCATGTCCCAAAGAAGACCTCTTGGTTCTCCAGGAGCCGCTCTCACCGTCTCAAGGTGACGTCCAAGGAAAGCAGGTCAAGATGCCAGAACTGATGTTGAAAGGGTGTCTGCTAGGGATGCCCACGTGGTCAGACACGCGTCCATGCCGGCTGCTCTGACAATGCGTCCTCTCCACCCAAGACAGCAGGCAAGAAGGGCCCCAGGACAAGTCAGCATGGGAAAAACTACCTTGCATTTCCTTAGCTGACTTTGGGGCTAGCAAATGTTAGACGGAACTAAAGAACCACACACACTCTGGAGCACATTAAAAAAAAAAAAAAAAGGAGTGTAGCCCTAGCCAGTTTGGCTCAGTGGATAGAACATCGGCCTGTGGACCAAACGGTCAAGGGCACGTACCTTGGTTTCAGGCTCCTTCCCGGCCCAGGCCCTGGTCAGGGTTCATGCAGGAGGCAACCAATCAATGTGTTTCTCTCACATCGATGTTTCTCTCTGTCTTTCCCTCTCCCTTCCACTCTCCCTAAAAATCAATGGAAAAATATCCTCAGGTGAGGATTAACAACAAGTACAACAAAAAATAGAGTGCATTTCTCACAGGAGGATTCTGGCTCATTTGTCCCTTCTTTGGTGTCCCAACTTTTCAGGCACTAAAACACCATGAGACACCAGGATGGGCAGGGGGACTGTACCCATGTATGCAGCTGAGTCTCCTGCAGCCCAGTGACCCTAGTTAAGGTTCTTTATAGATCATCATTATCCTACTCACTGTATCTTCATGTCATAAAAGTGACATCTCCTCAAAGCAGTGACTTAACGTAAACAGAAAAGTAAAGAGAAAAAGAAAAGCTATTCACAATATCCTGGCCAGAGGTTAAGATTTTGGTGTCTGTCCTTCTGGTCTTTCCCATATGGAATGTAATTTACTTCTCAACAACATCATTTCATATATTTTGCTTACATAGTAATATTTTTATGTCATGAAATTTATGCCAAGTAATTAAACAGCCCTTATAAATTATAGAAACTTAAAGACAATATCAAAACAATGAGGCCCCAAGACAAAGACCACCTACTGAATTTTTTTTTTGGCACGAGATTTTTGGAGTTTTTGTAAACTATTAGGTTTATTGAACACTATAAATCATAAGCTTTGAAAGAATTTTGGAAACATAATGGGATAATCTGTAGATTACAGAGTTGGAAAATCATAAAAATAATTTGCTCCTTTCTCCCCACAAAGATCTGCAATGGCCAAACGGTTTCTTAGAAGGAGATGTGCTAAGTGGAGATGGGCTGGCCAAGAATCCTGTACCATTTTGCAGCTTTCAACAATGCGCTGGAAAGAACATGTAAGTATAATGTCATTGAAGAGAAGCAAGAATGCAGAGAGGCTTACTGGGAGCGAAGACAGTTCTTTAAGGGAGGGAGATTACCTGCAGGAAGGTGGAAAACACCCCCAATGCACTAAGGGTAGGTCTCAGAGGTGCTTTAGCTGAGAATCCACGACTGGGCACTTCTACACAAACAGCAGCGGAGTCAACGTTCCAGTGAACTGTCTACCCAGTTAATGGTATTTATTATTACTATTATTTTATTGTGCTGACCAGTGGCAATAAAAGGAGTCACTAACTAGAAAATGATGAATTAACTAAATGGTAGAAAAATCTGGCCTATAAGTAAAGATGGAGGATAAAAAGAAATATTTAAAAAGCTAAATCTGGAGAAACACCTGAACGCTTCAGCATTTCACCACAGGACCTCCCCAAATCAGCAAGATGTTTCTGGTTTGAGGGACTTGCTTGCGCTGTGATTCTTCACTTTCGGACCTCCTAGCCAGCCAGAGAGGTGTGCCTCCCTGAGGACACAGAGAAGGGATTTCTCCCTTTGTTATAAAGCCCAGAGCACTTGTGTGGTTTCAGTTACTGGAGTCCGTCCTAGGGCCCGTGAGGGAAGGAGTGGATCTTGTTTACCTCGTGCATGCTGTAGGTGAATGAATGAATGAATGAATGAATGAATACTGCATGAAAATTGAGCAGCTTTCTGATTTTGAGGGCTCAGCGTGGGCTTTCCTTCTGGAGCAGACTCATGAACATGTATTTCAAAGACACTCACAGGAACACATGCTGAGTGAGTAGGAGTCAGAGTGATTCATTAGGCAGGGACTTCCCCACCCACGGGGTCTCTCCGGGGTCCCCACGCCCCTTTCCTCCTGTCATCTCGGCAGGAAACCACTGCACCGTGTCTCCCATCCGGTGAGGAATGTTAGAAGCATTTCAGCAGGGCCCAGAGTGGGTCAAGTAAAAGTAAATACCGGCCTTATTAGGCTCCGTCATAGACCAGACCTCTCAGGTCACGGCTTCCACGAGTTTCCTGACCTCCAGGAACATCCTTAGTCCCCCTGGCCTGGTGCACCGCCACACACCGCCCTGCTCTGCGGTGGCCGCGGGGGAGCTCTGTCCAGAGCCGGGGCGACAGGGGGCAGAGGGCGCTTTTCCGGAAACCCAGTGGGCCCCCCCTCCCTGAGCAGCATTCCACACAGTTACTTTCCAACCAGCCACACGTCGGGGAGGAGCAGAGGGATGGATGGGCTGTTCACACACGAGCTGTGCTGACGGTTCTGGTTTCCCAGAACTGGTCTCCGTGGTGTGCATGTGGTGTTGTTCATGGGCGGGGAGGAGAGGCATAGTAGAGATGTATGCAAAGATTTTAAATTATATTACTATTCCTTAATGACTGCTGAATGCTAAGGAACTGGCTATCATTTACGAGCCACAATTTTTACACCACACCGTTTTCTTTGCTAACTGACTTCCATTTACCTCGGTGAGCTGTAAGCTGCCTGGAGTGGAAAAGCTTCTTTATTTTGGGGTTGCCCGTAGCTGCCTAGAGTGAAAAAGTGTCTTCATTTTGGGGTTCCCCAGAGCACCATGCCTGTGCACCCTGGCTGAACGAATGAGTCTGCTGGGTGAAGACTCTGGGATTTCAGATCGGCACAGGACAAAATATAAACCTCGCGGATTGCCCCTCTGGTGTGCCCACGGCTCCATGCTCCATGTGGGCACCCGCGTGGTCCCGTCTCCCGGGCCTGCTCTCTCTGGCTTGTACTACAGATGAGCTCTTCCTCCTAAGCACACGCCTTCCACTGAGGCCCAGGAGAACTGCAGTATGGAGGGGCTGCCACCACCGGGGCTACTCTAAGGAGCAGTAAAGCAAGCTCTTCTCAGCACACGTTTTTGTTAACTGAGGTTAATTAAACCGAGGGTGTAGGTGTGTGAGTTTGACAAATGTATGTAGCCATGGAACCACTACCACAGTCAAAATATAGAGTGTTCCCATCACCCCAAAAGTTCCCTTTGCAGTCGGTCCTCATCACCATTCTCAATCAAGTCAGACATGTCCATCACCCTGGACTCCACAAGTAAGTGGCTCCCCAAATACATCTCCAGTCTG